AAGAAAGACAAACTATCGATTTTTAAATTTAAACCTCCTTTGTAACTGTTTGACCTGATGAGAAGTTACCGAAAGCGTTCGCTTACCAAAATTGTGTTCTGAATTATCTAATGGGAATTTTCGCAACTTTAAATCCAGTCAGACTATTAAGTGCACCGATACGGGCATTATCCACTATGGTTACAGCGAAATGGATAATGAGTAGCTTAATTTATCCAGAAACGACCACTCAAGCTTGTCCAGTCCTACAAACATTTAGACAGGGCTATCGGTAGTCTGTACAGCAAGCTGCGTGTCGGAGACTGGGGAAGAGCGAATGCTATGGCAGACACCCACATCGCTAGTGCCTGCGACAAACACCAACCACATATTCAATACATATTGTCTTTAGATCGCCGTTTTCGATGGCAAGTTCGAGCAAGGTTTGGCATGCCTATGGACCAAACGTACTGCAGAAATTGCCCAGAACTTTCTTATCCGCCGGCTAAATGGAACTCACGGTTTCGAAGCTGTCGACCACTTGGCCCTCAAATCTACACTTAGCAGGCTTCCGCGTGAGCATCTAGAGTCTCGTGCAAGTGAACATATCGTAGAATACACACTCGCAACGACCAATTGCAGTCTAAACCACGCTTCAGGGGAGGACATTGTTATTCCTTCGGCTGAAATTCTTCCAACCTGTGAGTATTAATTCGTCGAAATAGTTTACAGTAATGTTAACTGTTCACAGTGAAAAAAAAAACAATGGCTCTATCCAAGTTGCATTTAATTTACTCCTCCACTTGTCTTTCACACGCAACCGCGGCTCTTCCGAGGCAAGTGGATTTGGATTGGGTGAGGGGAACTGTAGCCTAAGTGACGCCAATTTGGTGACTGGCGTGCATCCACACATGGACTCGGGTCTCACAGAGTTGACGGGTTCGTGAGCAGAATACGATATGTCGACCGTCGTTACTGTGAATGTCCACTGTGGGTCCAACAGCATGATAAGCCTAGAGACGGTGACTTGCGCTTGAGATAGTTTATAATGGTAGTAAACTGGCGCTCCATCAACGGCACTGTCTCCTCTGTTGCTATGAAAGAGTCAAAAAGACCGAAAACGAATAGGGCCCAGTCGCTGACAAAGCTAAACAGTCCAACCTCACGCACGATGGAGCAAAATTTTACAAATACAACAGAGGGGCCACTCGGATCCCACCAGAGTGGAAGTCCCATAGAGGTCACATTAAGATGGAACAATTGCTGTCGGAGTCTCCATCCTGGGAGGCGTTACATGGTTAATTAATGGTCTTCCAAGCCAGGGCGTTTAGCGCAACCAGCTAGTGTAAGAGTGCGTGCTCATGGTGAGGAGATAAACTGAAGTGCCGTGGGACGGAGGGCACAGCGTTGACCTCTACCCCTCTCCCATGCGCCAGTTCACTGTTTAAGGCATTTGGTCATTTGATGCGGGTGCTTGCGCACAGTGACTGACAGAGTTAAAATTGCCCGACTCCACACGTTCAGAATGCACTGAATACTAATAAGACATCAGCAACATCAAACTAAAATGTATCAAACAAGCGTAGTCTCTTTTTAGTTCAGTGTGTTTCCGCCTATTAAAAGTGACATTTGCAATCCTACCGTTAACGAAACAAGAATGATGGTTACCGTAGAAGATAATTTGATCCTATCCTTGCTTAGTCTGTGTTCAGTTGAAGGCCTCGGTGGGTTATTATTGGCGCCTATCGAAGAAAAAAACAGTATATTAGTGCGGTAGGCGTCAAATGATTCAGTATTATTCGTATAGCCTAATGAAAGCTTACCCGCTGCCACTAATTCAGTATTAGGAGTTGTTTCCCGACACAAGCCACGCGCGTGTGCAGCCGCTTCGGAAGAGTTAAATTTCAGGGCGTAGTCGATAGCGGCATCAATGTTGATACAGGCGGCACAATACTTCTGAGCCAGTTCTTGAGCTAGTTCTATATTAGAAGTGAGTAGTAAAATGTAAGTGTTTGAGTCAGAAAAAGATGCCCATTAATGCTTTACTTGTAAACAATATGCCAACTTGTAAGTTAAGCATTAACGCCAAGTAACAACTTTCCACAAATGATTAGTGACAATGGCAACGATAAAGAAGACTAGAAGAATAATCAAAGAAAAAATTGGCGAGCATACGTTTGCTTTCGATAAATTATCCACAGGCCTGTATGATGTTTGACACAAAGGGCGAGAAGGATTTGCTCGACCGATAGCATCGAAGAAGAGTTTAAGATGGTAGAAACCGTTTTTTTTTCGATGAAATGGGCACCCTAGTCCATTTACCGCCAAGAAAATGGCTGAAAGACTGCCGAAGCCATCGGTGCAAATAGCAGAGAAGAAACGAATCTTCATTAGGGTCCCATGTCAAGAGGACGCGCCAAGCGAACTCCTTAGAAGGCACCTGAGCCAAGCTGTATCGAAAACCTTTTCAGCAGCCAACGTCCATATACTGTTCTCAACTACGTCCATCCTGTACGGAA